TAAATCATGCCTCAATCGATTATAATTAAACAATATAACATCCAAAACTTCATACAAGAAAGATCCTAACACATGGAACTAGGGTTCCTCAAAACCTAAGTGAAGGGAAGTTATTCCATAGAGAAGAGAGAGTCTGCAGAAATCTGATCTAGATCTTCAATGTCCATCTCCAAGCTTGAGTCCTGAGCTCCAATGGCAAAGAAATCCTCCAAAATAGCTCCAAGAATGTTCCCAAGTCGCGCTCTCTCTCTAGGGTTCATCCCTTGGGTGTTTGGGAACCAAAACCCAGCTCTCCCCTTTCCTTTGGCTGAAAATCGAGTTTTAAACAGAAATTCCCGATCACGCGGCCAGGCCACACGGCCGTGTGACTTTCCCAGATGCCCGTGTGAGGGCTCGGTGATTGCCACACGGCCACATGGCAAGTTCACACGGCCGTGTGGGTCGTGCCCGTGTGGCTTGCTCAGCCTCTGTTTAATGCTTCGTTTCTCCCTCGTCCGGACTCCGAATCAGTCGCCGTTTGATCCCAGACGTTCGTAGTCTCATCCTCTTTCTTTTCATGACAAAATTCGATGATTATTTGTCCATAATATGAGGTAGAATTCCATTATTTCTCAGGTCATGCTTGTGTTTCTTCTCCCGAATTGCCGAATGATCTCCGATTGACTTCAAACTTGCGCCTATGTTTCAATTTACATGCTAGGACCTGAAATGTGACAAAGGAACACAACCTAGCATAAAATAGGCCAAAGAAGCGATAATGCAAGCTTAAACGATCAAGAAACAAAGGGGAAAACATGTGCAAATATCGAGTCATCAAATCCACCCACACTTAACCGTTTGCTTGTCCCCAAGCAAACCTAACTCAAACCAATGCATCTCTCCAGACCTCTATAGCAACAAACAAACCCGATCGTCGGTAGAGGATTTTCTAGATCATATAGCAGCTTACGAGGTCAACTGGTCTTCTAAGACGTTCCCTATCTCTCTCAATGCGAGTACTAGACTCAAGCCAGGATCATGAGAAGCAGTGGAAGTAAGACAGCCAGTTCATGGATAAAGGGACTCACACCATTCACAACCAAGGACTCGTTGTACCGGGGTGCTCTTTCACTTCATTTCACCGTTGGAATCCCTTTTTGCACTTTCATTTACATTTCTTTTTCTCTTTTTTTTTCTTCATTCACTTGGCGGGGGTTCCAACTGCAGTCTTTTGCACGGTCGACCCTTATTAGTCGAGCAAGAGCAAATTTTGTACACCTGGTGCTCGCCAGGGTACTTCTTTTAACTCCTTTTCCTCAACTCGTGTGGAGGGTCAATGAAATTAAGGGGGGTCGGAAGCTCTATCCGTGCCCTTAAAAACACATCCTCGAGTAGGCAAACCGTTCAACAGGTGGAAGTTTTACTTGTACTGGAGACAGCTTAGCTTCACCTTGTAGGAGAGCCCCACTAAGGATCACTAAAATCTCCTCCAAAACCCGATTTGTGCCATGAACGGTGCCACACACGTTGGGCTTACCCCATGTTTAAGATTTTTGATGATTTCGTCATGGAGGACCAACTGCTTTTCATTTGCCACATGAGCACCCTGTTCAATACACGAGTCCATAACACAATTCAAACAGAGTCCACATTACCACATGAATTCAACGGTCTTAGCTCCACTAATTCACAAAATCAACTGGCACAGCAAAGAGCTAGATAGGAAAAATCTTATACTTCAACATCCTCCATAGTGCTACACTACCTCCCTAGTTTGCACATTACTATAGAGACTGTCAATTCAAGGCATACTGAGCATGCAATTTGCAAGGAAACACGTACTTGGAGCCCTCAAATTTAAAATTTTGGACAGTGGACAAGGCTCCAAGCACACAAACAGCCAAACATTCACCTGCATACATAATCTAACATCCCCCCACACTTAAGCACGACATTGTCCTCAATGGAGGAAAGATAAGGAGGGTAGAACGAAGTTACCAGATCAAGGGTGAATGATGGTGGATAGGGCAGGCGGTGCATTCCAGGAGGAGAGAGTAGTCAGAACACAAACACCACACAAAATCTCACAAAGGTTGAGTTATTGACTCTAAAATCAAATAACAAAATTGACTCAACCGAGGAGAAAAAGAGAAAGAAATGCAAACCGACTGGTTGGGTTGCCTCCCAACAAGCGCTTCTTTCACGTCGTGAGCCAGACGATGGCTCTTAAATTTTGGTCCATGCTAGAACCTCCTTGAAGTTGAGGTTCTCGTCGATGAGGTGGAGTCTCAAGTCACGAGCATGTGGTATGACAGGTGATGGAAGCTCGTGCACTTGATGCAGATAACGTCTCCACCCTCGAGACATCTTCTTCTCTTCTCTCGTCTCATTGCCCCAAACAGATATAATAACATCGATTGACCACCATCGCGTCCACCAAGAGGGACCGATGTCGACGTGGCCTTGGTCTGGCAAAGAGACAGTGCAAATGGGTCCTTGCTAAGTAGTTCCTCGAAGTTTGGTGGAGATATCTCATGTAACTCTTGGCCGGTGCATGCCTCTTCCACCTTAACTCCGTCCTCAGCCTGGACGCCAATTGCTTCTTCAACCTCCCTTTCTTCTTCATGTGGTATCACCCATGGGAAATGATCAAGAACTCCTTCTGCTTCACTTTTATCATCCTCCACAACTTCTTTCTGCACCCTTTCTTGCTCTTCTTCTTCTAGCACAGATTGGAGAGCAAGTCGCCATGTAATTTCTTCAATGAGATCATCTTGCATCTCCTCGCTCGGGCCCAACATGTTAGAGCAGAAATAAGGAAATGTGTGATCTGCAACCAGAGGACTTTCCTGATCATGATTATCATGGGAGTTCTCTGTGATAACTTATGTATGCTCCTCAACATCCTCGTAGCCTTTGTCATCCTCCACCTCTTCTAGCGTGGTAGCAGAATGGTGATCTTGAGCAAGATGTGAGCAAACTTGCTCCACCCACTCTGTTTGCTTTGCTGAGCACTAAACAGTCTCCTCCATTTCATGGAGAAATGAGGGATCGGAAGGGACAAGGGCTTTGATTTGAAGATCCATCTTGGAGCATGATCTCTCAATGTCTCGAGCAAACTGCTCCACGAGAAGCCTTAATTGTTTGTTCGGATCTTCCAGTGAAGTGTAGCATGGCTCTGTAGAGTGGCCCGTGAAGGCCTCCATGGCTAACTCCAGCTCTGATGGCCCTTCTGGTTGTGGGAGAAAGTCTTCTTGGTAATGAGGTTGTTCTTGATATGCCCAGGGGTCTGATTGTTCTCCGTAGTAAGGGGGTTGCACCTGGAACCCGAACCCATAGTCTTCTCCTCCTTGATTGTTGTAGGGAGTCTCGGGGTAATACCACTCGGATGGTGGTGGATACCCCCAATGGTTGGAGAAGCCATGAGGATCCATGATTCAGATCTGCACCAACAAAAACAAAAAAAAACACCCAAGTGAAAAGCAAGGATGGAAAAGAAAATAAAAACGCTAAAGTAACAAACTTCTGCCTTTCCTAATAATCTAGAAAGTCCCCGGCAACGGCGCCAAAAACTTGACACGCTAAAACACAACACCTAACAATGGCCAAGTGTAACCAATGAAAGGGACTGCAGTATAGTGGCACAAGTAATAAATATCGAATCCACGGGTCTCTAGAGTTACTATTACTCAGCTTCAGTTCATTATCTAGCAAACTAGATTAAGGATTGATTTATAAACTACTCTACTGACTACTCTACTAATTACAAGTTGGAAACTCACTTAGGTATGATTCCCCCTAGCTCCTCAATTAGGTCCAAGTTGCAATTACCTTTGGTTGATCTACTGTTGATTAGACTGCGGAAGATCCTAAATTAGCTTGGAATCTCTTAAGCTGACCAAGCCCTCTCAGACATAATACCCGTCAGGCGACTAGCCTTCACCGGGATAGACTGCTAAGGCGATTCACACAGATCTCCACTACTGGAATGAATTCCAGTACAAATCAGTGAATTGATTGACTCTCGCACAACCAATTCACCACTATCAATCAAGGAAGCTCTCTTAACCTAATCAGATTCTATCTATTATAGGTTAAAGCAGAAATCAAGAGAATTTGATCAAGATTCAATTGACTCAATAAATCATGCCTCAATCGATTATAATCAAACAATATAACATCCAAAACTTCATACAAGAAAGATCCTAACACATGGAACTAGGGTTCCTCAAAACGTAAGTGAAGGGAAGTTACTCCATAGAGAAGAGAGAGTCTGCAGAAATCTGATCTAGATCTTCAATCTCCATCTCCAAGCTTGAGTCCCGAGCTCCAATGGCGAAGAAATCCTCCAAAATTGCTCCAAGAATGTTCCCAAGTCGCTCTCTCTCTCTCTAGGATTCGTCCCTTGGGTGTTTGGGAACCAAAACCCAGCTCTCCCCTTTCCTTTGGCTGAAAATCGAGTTTTAAACAGAAATTCCCGATCACGCGGCCAGGCCACACGGCCGTGTGACTTTCCCAGGTGCCCGTGTGAGGGCTCGGTGATTGCCACACGGCCACATGGCCAGTTCACACGGCCGTGTGGGTCGTGCCCGTGTGGCTTGCTCAGCCTTTGTTTAATGCTTCGTTTCTCCCTCGTCCGGTCTCCGAATCAGTCGCCGTATGATCCCAGACGCTCGTAGTCTCGTCCTCTTTCTTTTCATGACAAAATTACATGATTATTTGTCCATAATATGAGGTAGAAGTCCATTATTTCTCAGGTCATGCTCGTGTTTCTTCTCCCGAATTGCCGAATGATCTCCGATTGACTTCAAACTTGCGCATATGCTTCAATTTACATGCTAGGACCTGAAATGTGACAAAGGAACACAACCTATCATAAAATAGGCCAAAGAAGCGATAATGCAAGCTTAAACGATCAAGAAACAAAGGGGAAAACATGTGCAAATATCGAGTCATCAAATCGCGCTCCTCCATGGTGATTTGGATGAGGAGGTATATATGCGCATTCCCCCGGGTTTTGCGGCACCTGGTGACACTCGTGCGTGTCGTCTCCGTAAGTCTCTATATGGTCTTCGGCAGGCTTCTCAGAACTGGTATCACAAGTTCACGGCTGCCCTATGTGAACTCCAGTTTATGTCTTCCCCTGAAGATCATTCTCTGTTTATCTATCGTCGGGGGAGCATCTTTGTGATCACTCTCATTTATGTGGATGATGTGATTCTCGCTAGTAACTGCATGGATTTCATCACTTGTGTGAAGACATTTCTACATTCGAGGTTTACCATCAAGGATCTTGGTCCTCTTCTATATTTCCTAAGCATTGAAGTTGCTAGATTTGCCGAAGGAATTGTTCTTAGTCAATGCAAATACGCGTTGGACATTCTTCAGGATGCTGGGTTACTAGCTGCCGCCCTAGCTCATATCCGATTGAGCAAAATCTTCAGCTTACTCGTCCTGCTGTGGCTTATCATCTGGACCCTTCTATGTATCGTCTCCTTGTTGGGCGTCTTCTCTATTTGACCGTCACATTCTCGGTCAGTTTGTCCATGCTCCTACACGAGCACATATGGAGGTTGCGCAGCGAATTCTCCGCTATTTGAAGAACGCTCCTGGTCAAGGTCTGTTCTTCCCTTCTAATAATTCCTTGGATCTTGTGGCTAACCGTGAGGCTGACTGGGGAGGTTGTCAATCAACACGTCGTTCTACCACTGGTTATGTTGTTACTCTTGATGGGGTCCCTGTTTCATGGCGCACTAAGAAGCAGCAGGTGGTGGCTCGCTCTTCTACTGAGGCAGAGTACCGTGCTATGGCTAGCAAGGTCAGCGAGATTATATGGTTACGCTGGTTGCTTGAAGAGCTTGGTGTGTCGCAGTCTTGATCCACTCCTCTTCACTGTGATAATCAAGCTGCTTTGCACATAGCGGCTAATCCAGTATTCAATGAACGTACCAAACATGTGGAGATAGATTGTTATTTTGTTCGTGAGCGCGTGCAGTCAGTGCATATATTGCCCCTAAAGATCAGTTCGCATCATCAACTAGCTGATATGTTTACTAATGGGCTTGGCGCAGAGCGGTTCAATTTCCTTCTCTCCAAGCTGTGCGTTCGTAATCTTCACGCTCCAGCTTGCGGGGGAGTATTGGAGACTGCCGATCAGCCCACTTCAGAGCCCACTGGCGGGTCAGCTCGGCCCAGTCCGGCCACTTTTTGCGCCCACGTACTATCCATGTTTGTCCACGCACATGTAACCTTGTTAATAATGAGAATGAGTATAAATCATGTTGTAAGGCATTCTGCCGAAAACCAAGTTGAATAAGAAAACCTAAAGCTGGAGAGTGCTGAACTCTCCTTGGACTAGTCCCGATCATCGGGGATACCACGTATATCTCTGTGTTCTTTACGTTCTGTGTTCTTTACGTTTTCTGCTTTAGTTTCAAATAATTCTTCAAGGGTTATATAGGTTTATTTTTAGTTAGGTGCTAATTAAGAGATTTAAATCTGTGACATACAAATTCAATACTAGTAATATTACATCTGAACCACTTCATCCAATATATATTACCACTGAACCAAACTCTTGTTCGCATCACAAAAATCAAACTTCGTAAAAAGAGAGCTTTCTGCTTGAAGAAGCTTTTGCACATAGAGTTTTTTTTAGGGGAAAGATTTGGCCAAGTAACGAGAAAGATAGGGTTTGTGGAGAAAAAATGTACATGTGATGCTCCCATAAAATGTACATGTATTGCTCTCATAGGTAACAGGAAAAACAATACCATACAATTTTAACTTGTTATAGTGCATATTCTTATACTTTCTTATATAAAAGTCATAGTTTTAGTCTTACTATTCATTAAGAGGGGTTTTTGTAATTTTCATCAATTTTAGTGGCATTACACTAAACCTCCATATTTGCATAATTTTCATTTATTTTGCCATTTCCCATTCATTTGCAAGTAGACACATATTTATCTCATTTTCATTTTTCTCTTTCTTTTAATCACATTTTTTCTTATATAAAAGTCATAGTTTTAGTGTTACTATTCATTAAGAGGGTTTTTTTGTAATTTTCATCAACTTTAGTGGCCACTACAAAAAAACCAACTTTAGCGACAGAATTATGGGCGACGACAATATTTTGTCGCCAAATATGAGTTTTCTGCGACGAATTTTATATTTTCGTCGCAGAAAATGTCAACAATGAAAAGCGGAATGGGAAATAGCTTTTGCGACGATTATAGGTTTTTAGCGATGAAAGTATTCGTCGCAGAATATATAGAGAGATAATGCGACAGATTTTTTCGTCGTGATATGTTTCCACATGCAGCGACGTCCAACTTCGTCGCCAAATCGGATCAAGTGTATATCGGTGAAGCATTTTCCATTTTCGAATTCTTATAGATTGACAATCTTTGTATGTCTGCTGATCACACGTATTTCACTCATGTGTGTTTCGACGATCCATTTTCCATTTTTGAACCATTATCAATTAGAACAAGAGAACCACATTAATTGATTTCAATTAGAAGTTCGTATTTGGTTCAGTCGAATTATTTATCTCTTTAGCGATTTGCTAGATCTGAGTACACTTGCAAGGTGGACAACGGAGTCGCTATAGTAGCACTCATTGAAGAACAAGACAACTACAATAATGATTTTCAAAACGTGTTTGTTTTTCCCCAATCGGTACCTATTCGTTGGCCAACGAGTCCATTTACGCTATAGTAGTACTCATTGAAGAACAAGAGAATCACATTAATGATTTTCAAAATGTTTTTGTTGTTCTCCAATCCGCACCTATTCATTGGTCAACGAGTCCATTTATTTATTATTTGCTTCACCTTATTGAAATAATGTGTTTCCTCGATCCTTATTTAGCTACTTAGATGTTTCTATTCATCAAATGAGACCTAGGTCTTCATCTTTTTGGGTTTGTGTTCTTTACAGTTTAGTTTATTCTCTCTTACAATTACATGTAGCCTTTCATATTACTCACTTTAGTGCAAAAGAAAAGGAATGAAGAATCCGTAAAAATGATGTATTGGTAGTTGGATGGAGTGGTAATCAAATTTAGAATAACCAATAAAGATTTTTTTTTTTTGGAATCCTTAAAGATTTTAATTGGAGTGAGTTCCATGGATAACATATTTTAAATGAAAAATGAAACTGTTTGGAAAAATAAATTCAAGGTCGCTAAGACCGTAAACTAGAACCATAAACCGTGAACCTCAAAAGTGAAGCGGTGCGTATTGATCCAACTCACTGAGTTCACGGACGCGTTCTGATGTTCACGGCCGTGAACTGGGCACGATCTCAGTATAAATGGAGAGCTGAAAGGAAGAAGAGGGGGGGGGGGGGCGAAAGTGAGAGAAACCTTCTTCTTCTTGAAATCCTAGAGAGAGAAAGTAACAAACCAAGAGGGAGAAGAGGCTAGGGTTTGCTCCAAGTAAAGATTTTGGAAGCTCCTCTCCTTTGGAGGATCTCTACAAGCACAAAAAGAGCTGGAGGCATCACAATGATGGTTTCTTTCTTTCTCTTTTGTGTTCTTCCTTTGTCTAGCATGGAGTAGTTTCCCTTTTCACTTGGGTGTTGTAGAACCCTTAATACTATCATGTAATTGATTGTGTGATGGAGATGTTTAATTTAAGAATTGAGGTATTTTTCATGGTGATTGTGCATATTGTTTGCTTGGCAATATATTGTGCTATTCTAACCTAGACTAGAGAAAAGCCCCCTTATCTTTAAGAGGCTCAAATTTGAGCTGGGTTTTCTTAGGAATTTCATGCCTCCTAAATAGGTTAATGAAGAGCAACCCTATACTTGAATTAGACACCTAGGTTCATTGTGATTATGCCGTCCAAGCCTTGGTTTGAGAGAGAAAGTAAGTCAACCCTCAATTGCTTGCGCCAAGAGGGCTACAATTGTAGCCTCTAATGCTTACCTCTTGGTCTAGCGATTGAGAGGATGGTTTCTAACCATTGTTGCACCTCCTACGGGTCACAATTGCCTTGTCACACACTAGTTCATTCGATCCCACCGTTCATGGTAGTTAGTAAAGGGGAAGCAACACCTGAGTGAAACTTCTCACCAAGAGTTCTCCACTCATTTACTTTTCAAAGTCCTGTTTTTTAAATCGTAGATTGTAGAGATTTCAACAAACAACAATCTTCTAGATAATGTTTCAAACAATCGAAGTAGGCGTACATGGGCCAGCCCGGGTTGATATTTAAACATACTTGCCCTATATTGCACCCATCTAAGGTTTATACTTGGGCCTTAGGTGGGATTTTATTGTAATAATCGGAGCGAGTCAATGTCCCTCTGTCAATTTGACTTGACCATCCTTATAGATGGACGAGCACCCACTTGCCCAGGTGGCTGCTCAACTTGAGTTTTGAACATGGTGGCGAGGTTCTTACCACGCGGGCTACCATTTCAACTCCCACGCGTCCATGTAATGAATTCCCCACTTGAGCAGTAACGGAATCTCAACATGATCTACTCAACGTGGAGGTGGTTGGCTTGCTGTCTGAGGCGGCAAGTTCTCTTGTCGTGGTTGGCCATTTCGGCTACGGGCAAGAGAAAGAACACTGTTGAAATTGATCCAACTCATTTGTACTTTTGTTAACTACTTCAACCAATTGACTCAAACGTCTATCCATGCGAGAATTGGACAGTCCATTTGAGAATTTACCTGATGAGTTCCAGCCCTACCCTCCCCCATCATGCGACAGTTCTCCATCAGCATTTGACGGCTCTCCTTCGTGGCTTGACGATTCTCCGCCACCATCTTGCGGTTCTCTTCTGTGGCTTGACGGTTCTCTGCCACCATCTTGCGGTTCTCCTCCATCATCTAATGAAGGACCCCCATGGCTTCACCAATATCTCCACTAGGCGTGGTAGCTACCAAGATCCGCTCTACCATTTCCTCCGGTCACCACCTCTGATACTTGGCCATGCTCGATGTTGGCCACCTGCTCCTCCACAAAACCAGCCGAAACATCACCTTCTTGATTCCTCTGCCTCAGGGCCATCGAATCGACCACAAGTGTCCCACTAGGTGTGCTAAATTTATTTTCTGGCGAAAAAACTTACGTTGAAATCGAATTGATTGCACATTGACTTCTTTGGACAAAGATTAACTTAACACAGTTCACATCTCTTCAAACAAAGTTTGAACGAGAGTGTTCGATTTTTGCATGACTCACGAGACAGAAATATACATTAAACTACCCTACTCCTATGGAGGTTCTGTGAGAGCTCCAGATCTACGACTATGGCTAAAAGTTGCAGAGAAAAGATAAAAGATAAAACTTGACATTGGGTTGTACGGTGTGAATTTGGCGAACCCTTTCTCTGTCAACTCCTCCTCCTATTTATAGCCTTGAAGTGGTAACCGTCGTAAGAAACCGTTTGAGAGTAACTTCCAAAAAGAACTGCCCCCTTCTTCCTTGGACGTGGTGTCCTTGAACGTGGGATAATTGGCAGGTGTCCAGTTAACCGTCTACTCTCTCTTTTGGAACTGACTTCTTGTTACTTGTCTCGCCTTTTACCATGGCCATTCTAGATCTCAAGACGAGGGCCTTCTACATCTCACGGCCGATATGGTGTCTAGATCGTGCGACCAACGAGCCCTATTAAACTTGACGCGATGATGCCCACTTGCGACCATCATGTCCAAGATCTCACCATGTGGTCTAGATCTCGCGACCACCTTTGTCTAGCAGACTCGCGACGAACATGGTATAGTAGACCCGCAACGAGCGTGGTCTATATCTCGCGACCACCTTGGTTTACCAAACTCGCGACAAGTCTGATTTAGTAGACTAGCGACGAGCATGGTCTACCAGACTTAGTGTCCACGCGACAAGATTAGTTCCTCCGTGAAGCCTAAGTGGTTTGGGCTTAAAAGTATAGTACCATAAGGCCCAGTTTAAATAACATTAGTTGTTATTATTGATCTGGCTTGATAAAAACAATATATGCCTTGTTAATAATCAATGGTACAATATTATTTTTTGGGTGTAAACAAACATCTAACTATAAAAATTAACTTATATCATTCTTATAAAAAAGTTCATAGTACAAAAGGTCGTTTAAAAAAGTGTGTACTTCATGAACCAAAGAGCGACTTTAGGAGTGGGCAACGAGTATCCAGTCCCATTTAAAGAGGAAATTCAATTCCACGTCATAAACCCGTACAAATTAACGGATACTCATTACTCGTATAGGATGGATAACGAGTCCCCGCAAATAACCTATAAACATTGTATTCATTTCCTCTAATGGAAGTTAAGGCTTTCGAAGGGCTGTCTGTCTCATTCATATCATTTGGGATCCCACCACCAGATCTAATCACTGGACAGGAATAACATTATTAGAATTATTCCCCACCCAGTCGACACCTCTCACTGTCACTAGCAACATAGTCATCGACATGCATGGATGGAGGCTTGATAGTGTTTGGTTTTCTCTGTATAAAGGTGTCCCTGCGGATGACAAAATAAGCAACAAAGTCCCCCTCTTGTAAGCTTTTACCTGATACAAAGTGGATTGCACAGTGACATGGTAGTTGTTTGTCATCTTTGAATTCAACATTGTTGGGCAGGTAGTACGTACGTGATACCGTTAAATCTTAATATTCAAATGGGTATTCATGGGTGATCCGCGGGTACCCATAATAAAATTTTTTGATCTCAATTCTCATTCCGTAAAAATAAAAATACGCATATATGGATACTCATAACCAAAGTAGTCAAAATCGGGATTTTACCTAAAATCGAAAACTGGGGTAAAATCGGAATCGTAAAATCGTAGGATTTTAAGTATCACATAGAAATTAACATATAATAATATTAATAAGGTAAATCATTAATAACACAAAGACATATAACATTTAAAGTGATAATTTTCAAGATTAATGTTCCAAAATCATCCTTTTAATTGTTATTTAATGTGTAACTCAAAGTAATTTATGAGGAAGGGATAGAGCTCATGAGGTTTGCTCTTGTTTTTAATGTTGTGTTTATGTAGTTGAACTCAAAGTAGTATTCTGACATCGACTATTAAGCATGATTTAAAACTAAGAATAAGTGAACTCCAATAAGAATTTTAATGTCATTGGTTTGGTATAAATATATTCATTAATCAATTAATTTATTAATGATGATGTTAATTATTTCGTAGTTACAATATTATGACAACTATTTTACCGATTAGTTAAACAAGGAGAAGGGAAAGGGATTGACCGAACCTTAATTAGGTTTTTTTTTCCTTTTCAAATGTTCTTTTAATAGGAAAAATATATGAGAAGATAGCCGTCATTGCCCTTTCCACCGAAACAGTTCTGCTTCTTTTGAATTGTCTCAAACTGCCTATTTTGTTCACATAGGATCAAAATCCCGATTTTGGTACGATTTTAACGATTTTAATTCCGATTTTGAACGATTTTAATTCCACCGATTTATAGTAAAATCAGGATCGGAATCTCTAAGTAAAATCCTAAAATCCTACGATTTTGACAACATTGCTTGTAACCATAAAAAAGGGATGAGTATGAGTATACCTAAATAAATACCCATTTCTTGTTGTCCAACCCTAAGCGACTTAAACCAAAATGCAACTAGATAAAATACAAGGTAACTTTGTTGGCTTGACGTTACCAATGTACTCAAAAGACAAACCATGATTCAGTTGATTGCCATTATCAGAAGATGTAAAGGTGCGGTCGCGTTGGTGTTTGTGCTCTGGATTTTCTGCTAGGGAAAGGAACGAGCGTCCCTGGAAAATGGCTTGAATCAGTATTCTCTATTAAGAGGAAGAATAGCAAAACCAATTACGAATATCGTTCATTCCATACAAGACAACAGCATAGGCTTAAAAGAGCATATAATTCTTGACGGACTGCTAAAAAGAAATGGAATCTGATCACTTCATGGCAGGAGGAAGCATCTCCCAGCTTGTTTGTTTCAAGCAACACCAATTAAGTGGACACACATAGCACACGAGAAGCCGGCCAAGATGCTGACAATTTGGTATTTAGTACTTACCATCTGGGTCAGTGTTCTTCTCAAGAGGATACCTTTTAGATGAATACCGATTCTCGTCTTTTTAGTATTCCTAGCTCACAAGTGTACAAACTGAGAGAAGATTACTAATGGAGAAACCAAATCCTACAGAGGCTGGAGCAATAAGAAATCTAATTGCAGCACAAATGATCGGCAAAACGGGCTAGTTTTCAGCCTCCACCCAGAAAAATACATACCATTTTCAGCAATTTGGTTAGCATGCTTATCAGCTTATGGGGCTGCAGTGCATTAGCGTGTTCTTTTGTTCAATGCCAGCATTAGTACGCGGTTGTGCCAAGGCCTGCATACGCCGTAACCAATGTCAATTCTCAAACATGCCAACACAGTTTTCACATGATAGAAATTCTTTATATTAACAACACACAGTGCTCAGATGAAAGAAACGGGACTGATGAAGAATTTGGTATACAAGGTACCAGACAAACAACAAACATTCCACATCTTCGAAAGCCGAATGAATCGTATCTAGTAACTGATTGTATATGGTGTATGAAGTAGTTCTACAGATTTATGAGGCTTCATCACTGAAGATTTGATTCAGAGCCTCAAGGAACTAGCTAATCTATAAACACTTATGAATTACACGACACATTTACAGATTCATAATAATCAAAGAAGCAAATCTAAGAAACTAAGACAATGAAGAAAAGAATGCAAATTTTACAACACAACTAATATGGTACAGAAACAAACCACATAGTGACTTCACCAGGCTTGCAAAAGACATCAAAATCCCTTGGCAGAACTCTGCCACACCTCAACAGATTGCTGATCTTTACGAGTAACAAACATTTTGTTCCCTCCGAACCCCAGATTGGTTATCTTAGCTCCTCCAATATCCTTCATTCTCCCCATCAGGTTCTTCCTAAACACTCGATCGGGCAACCTTTCGCTGGTTCTTCGACTACCCATCATAATCTCAGACCAAAGCTCAATATTGCCATCTTTGCTGCAGAACACTTGGTTCCCATGTGCTTCAATCTTGCAACCAACTCCTTCCTTCTTCACATTCCCAACTTTCCTTTCATCACCAACACAAACCCATTTGCTAGAATCCTCATCACCCAACTTCCTCAAATCCATATAGGATACTTCCCCTGAATTCACCCCAACTTTGAAAATTGCAGAAAGGCTATCAGAGACGGTAATATCAGAAAAGCAATCGACTTTCTCCTTCAATTCCCAAACAACATTCCCGGACCTTATGTCCCATAGCTTAACGTTACCTAATCTACCCGATGGACCAGAATGAGAGCCGGATGCCATAACCACGTTGTAGCTCTCGACCCATTGCAATTTCGTGGAGGGGATTGCGGAATCGAGATTGGCACCGAATATCTCGTAATGGCCGATCTGGGTCACCGGCGAGAAGGTCTGCATATCGTACACCATGATGCAATTCGAGTTCCTCCGGCTGGACTCAAAGCTCGAGAACAGAAGACCCGGGGAGGACCCGATTGCCTGAACCGTTGACCCGGATTTCGTCACGTTTTCCCAGTTTAGGGTTTCCCTGACGAATCCCTTCTCCATGTCGAGTATCTGCAATCCGGAGAAATCCGTAGCACCGGCGGCGGCCAAGGTTGGGGAGATGGCCAATAGAGAATCCATCGCCGTGAATTGAGTCAGAATCGTCGCTTTCTTCCGGAGCGACCAATCGAATGACGTAATTTTGCTGCCGTGAGCTACGTGCAAGGTCCCCAGCGGCGTCGTGGCGACGGTGGAAGGAGAATCTCGGCCGTTGAGCGGCAAGAGAAGCGACTTCTCGAGATTGAATGCCTCGAAATGAGAATGGTGAGACAAGGAATCGATCAGCAGGGACTCGATGTTGTAGAATCTCGACTCTTCGACCAAATCCTCGACGTCGAACGCTTTAGCCTTGGAGGGAAGATTCCCGGTACGGAGGAGGGAAAGCAGGACGGAGAAAAGCTCCGGGTCCCGATCGATGAACCGAGGGGCGAGCCCGGTTGACTCGGTGAGCTGGGAGAAGAGCGATTTGGGTCCGGCGAGGCTCAAGGTCTGCCGTGTCGTCTGGAAGATTTGGCCGCCGACGTCGATTGTGACGATATCCGAGACCGGATTCACAATCTTGTAGAAATTAGGGGTTTCCGCTGGACGAGAAAACATCGTAGCCGCTGCCGGAGGCATTTCCAAATGTTTTTTCCTCTGCTTTTTTCAGCTCTCTTGATTTTTCTCGGAAAATAACAAGGACCCGGAAAAGGAAAATGGGAAAAGCCGGCGACTTTGAGAGAAGAAGCGCCAACGGCGAGCGAGTGGCGGAGGTATGAAGATGCAACAGGCTGGTTTTTGAGGGGAGAGGAAATTCGTTGGGGTTTTTGGTTTATAAAGTGGGAGACTATTGAGATGCTGGAAAACTGGTCAAAGAAGAAGGATTTGAATTTCCGAGCTAGCCAATGAACGTGGAAATCGTTCGTTGAATTTGTTTAAATTAGGTCAATGGCTGATTTAGTACCTGAATTATGAATACTTAAACAAAAGAGCTTCTCAAATTAATGTTATTGACTTATTCACCCACTTTGTCTGTAGTGAATCCCTACATTTGTTATCTTGAATTCTTGATAAAGTAAGGTTGATACACTCTAATATTATGGAAGTCTTTTGAGATTTTTTAGAAGGTTAAAAGATAGTACAATCCTACAATTCTAGTTTTTTTAAATTGTTTAATGGTGTTATATTAAATTTAGTTTGACGTTGAATCGAAGCATTCTCTATCACTGAGATATTTAAGTGAGATTTTACTTTTATAGAGTAGGATTTTCATCGGGAGGAATTACAATTTGCAGCCAAGTAGGGATTAGAGGCTCATTGTCCATAGGAGGTCACCTAATCCTATTCCTATAGGATCAAGGTGCCAAACTTCTTCAAGTAAGAAGTTTAGCAAAATTTAGACAAACTGGCTCAACTAAATAAGACATCTTTGAAATAAAATATGAAATGGAGTGTATTAATGTTAACAATGTTGAATTTCTCAACTAATATTATCAACTTACTAACCCATGTTGTTCTTAATAAATGTTTTGGGGACTCATATTGTTCATGGGTGGAGAACGGGAATTTAACACTATGAGATCTTATCTCTCTTTGTTCCTTATAGTATCAGTGATAGAGCAGTCGGTTGTTACCTAATTGGTTGTAGGTTTGAATCCTACTTAGGGACATTTGACTCATTAGAATTCTTTAATCTTTAATTCGGAATGAAGGGGGTACAATATTGGTGAATACTCTAAAGTTATCGAATAAGTTGAACGGAAAGATAGTTACAAATCTAGATTCCCATAAGCTCTTTCCTCTCCTCGATAGTTGTTAACTTAACCTTGAAATCTTAAAGCATCCTTGATCGCAGATGATTGATTTCATGGGAGGAATGACATAGTGCTAAGTTGTTGTCGATATGTTAAAGAGAGTGTAAAAAGTTGGTCTTTAGAAAACCCGGAATTAGAAGGTATTAATGTTCACAATGTATAGTTGTCAGACTAGTAAATCGATAATTTTATCTAGGGAGCTCGTTTACTAAACATTTAATAATTCAGGGACTGAATATGCGATTAACCCATTTGTTATAAGCAATATTTTTCTTTCCCCTTGGTAATATAATATCAGATATGCATTTGCTTTCTCCTGTTTGTCATTATGAGTAATTAGCACGGAAAATTAATTTTGGGTGCTGGCGGGGCGGCTGGCGCCACCCGAAGTGGACTGTCATTCTTGGAACCTTCTTCCTGCTTATGACTTATGACAGGCTGGAAGGGTCCTTGTGATTTATGGGCATAAATAAATTCATATATTTTGATTTGTTGCCACTCTTGTGACGATTCAGATAAGTTCTGTTACTACCGAGATAAAGCTAGCAAGTTGCAACCATTAGTCGGATCGGACGTCGTTGAATTATATTTTCTCGCGATTTAAATTGTTGAATTAACGCAATGATAATTTTATAGATGTTTATGTTAATTAAGTAGTTAACATTATGAAAGTACCAGACAAATTGTACTTGCTCGTAAATTATAGTTGTGCATCATAAGTTGTTTTAGATTTTTCTTATCTAATGTTCTCGCAGAGATTATGTGTTTCGTTAAAATTGAAATACTTTTAATTTGTCAGCAAATCTGGTGATATTGACAATAATAGCAATGCTATTTCAAATGATGGATTCAAATCTTATTAGTTTTCTCGTAATTTCTTTCCCCTAGCCATTTCTAGGATAAGATGGATACTATATATAACATATTGATATTAAAAAAAAAACACTTTTTAATTTATGTATTGGGTTTAATATAGAAGCTGTGAGGAAATTCAATATCTTGGAAATGAGGGTAGGTTTGAGAACAAATTTATAAACGGGGAAATCTAGAAGTGGACGTTTGACCGGCTGAATATAATTTGGACACAGTGTGTTATGTCATTGCTTAGGCGGCTGGCCTGGCAGCATCTACGCTATGTTTTAATCGATTGATGCTTTTCTGCCTTGTTCATCAATTTGGCCTCTTTTCTAATTATTTTTTTATGATCAAAGGGTTTATTTTTATTAGGATAGTAGTTATTATTATTCCTAAGGGGATGCTTCTTGTCTGTTGCATTGGCATATTTGGCAACCATGTGGAAAATCAAGATTCTACTTTTGTAGTTGTTTGCTCAACTAATAGTGCCTTGTCCATTCTGCTACTCTATTTCTAATGGGAGTTAATATATGTTTGGAAGCCATGTGGCAGTTAGCTTTAATCACAGAAAATAAGGTTGGCAATAATCTAATATACCATTCTTTCCTGTGGAAATGGCGATCCCATCCATGATTTCATTTCTTGTGCAGCAAAATTCGAGATAGGATTCAGATGAAAGAAACACAACCAAATTGTTTCGTCGGCCAACCTAAGTGCTAATAGGACTTCGTGAAAGAAAGAATAGAAACCAAATATAGAACCAAACTTCTGTTCCCATAAAAATTTCGAAGTAGAATCACCATATCACAGAAGAAACTAACTGTTCTTTAAACCTCTAACATCTCTGTGGAACTTGGTCTGCGTCGTTAAAAAGTTCAGACAGCCAAACTTTTGGAAGCAATCTCGAAGACATTCTCCGACAGTCCGTTGGCAGACACTATCATCTCCAACTGTGCCTGCAACAAGACCAACAACAAAAGAGTGCGTTCAGCCATCTCTCTCCAACACAACAAGACTACTAACATCATCAAAGCTACTTGTTTAGTTCAGCTTACCTTGGCGAGACTCTGCCTGGTTTCATCGTATCGCCTCCATCTAGAGAAGGCTGAAACCATTTGGGAAGCCACCTGCAAAACCCACCATCCCAAGGAGGGGGTGTTGATTAATTAGGCAAGGAACAATGAAGGAATCCTGGGGGGCATGTCATCATCAAGACAACGATTTGCAAACCTGAGGGTTGACTTTCTCGAGTTGGACCACTATCTCGCCCAAGAACTTGTAGCCTGAACCATCCTTGGCGTGGAAGTTAACTGGGGACCCGACAAATCCTCCAATCAAAGCATAGACCTGTAAAAATGAGATACCAATCTTAGTATAATCCCGTCTCGAAAGACATGGACATGAGGACATTGTTGATGATTTTGCATCTAATTTGCGTCTATTACCTTGTTTGGATTGCTCAAATCGAATGTTGGATGATTCAGGAGATTCCGCATGTTCTCCACATTCCCAGGAATATCCGCCCTGGCTTGAAGGGCGAACCATTTGTTCACAACCTGGAAAAGGGAAAGTTAGCATAGAGCTAAACAACCACTAAGATAATAAGAAGTGACACCTACACCAATTGCTCACCAAAAAGTTATCTTGCCACTTGTTGTAGAAGTCAGCCAACACTTCCTCCCGAGTTTTACCAGGGTTCTGAGCTATGCCTTCCAAAGCTGCAAATTGGTCTGTCATGTTCGTGGCAGACTTGTATTCATTCAGTGCAAGGGTAGCTGACTCCTCATCTTGAAGTGAAGCCAGATAGGCTGCAAAAAGGGTTTTGAAAAGACCAACATCATCAGCTAGCGATATCAATTTCAAAACAAAGTGATTAGCAAGTTGAAAAGTGTCAGACAAACAATACAAACCAAGAGCAATGTTCTTCAGTGCCCGCCTAGCCATATTTGGGTGGTTAAACTCATATGCTTCAGAACTGCGGTTGTTCTCGACCTGTGAAAACACAGAACAAATTGAGATGTCATTAGAGGAAACTAGAAAAAAGGGTGGATTGGTCATAAGCGCTATGCAGGATTATCTATCATACAATATTCAGAAGCTCGGCTCTCATTTCAGAAGCAAGCTGCTTCCTAATGAAGGAGCTGACGGCATGAACAGCATCAGGGTCTGCAACTTTCATCATGTCCATTATTTCACCCTCACCAGGCAGAGTAATTGCCTTCGCAATAAATTCCTAAACAATCAAACAGGAAATTAATTAACAAAATAGAGATTTTGCTCCATGTGGGAAGAGTCAGAAACATAAAATATATATTGTACCATACTTTATCCAAGGACGAGTCGATAAGAATGCTTTTCAGCCCCTGCACAAACTTTGGATTCAGAACCAATGGCTTATTTTGTTGGAAATCAGCCACTAGGGTGAGCATCAGGTTCCTAGCCAAGAGCTGCCCAGCTTCCCACCCAATAACGAAACAAAGAAAAACACGGAACAAAGAAGAAATGAATATACTCCTATTCACAACTTGATCAAGTGAAAATGTGGCAGTCAGTCAAAGAGAACAAACCGGTTGAACTCATCTGAATCGTGAGCAAGGAGGAAGAACAGATCATCGTCAGAAAGATCGGCTTCAAGACGGATAGGAGCACTATATCCCCAAAACAGAGAAGGAACTGGCTTCTCGGTTATGTCGGAGAAAATAAACTCCTCTTCTTTCTGTTAAGACGAGCTCACATAAGAAATTAGAATCATTAGCATCAACAACACTTTACTACGGGGAAAAGAAGAAGTAGACATTAAGTTAATAGAAGTTTGTATTTAAGGTCAGCCAAGCATTAGGGCTTCTAATTTCTAACTAAAGTGTGGAGAATATAGGGCAAGTAGAGATTACATGTTTAGACTTGGAAATATACTGAAACATACTACTTAAGGCTTAGTCCAAATAACAATTTTAGAGTTGTATTAAATCGAAACATTTCTCAGAAAAATACTCTTTATCTTTGTACTAAGAGTTAACGTTGACCAAGGACTTTGAAGAGGTGTCATGTTCACAGTACCTAAGGACAAAGTATAGTATGAGTGAGAGCCAAGGAAATCATATTCACCCACAAGTTTCTTCTCCACTAACCTTGGTTACCCTAAGTACAGTACTGTAGACTGGTTCACCATTGCTGGCAATGGACTGCAACATCCCATCGTGAAATACAGAAGTAAGCGGCAAGTCCTTGCCACTTGAGTCCAACATGCCTAATGCCACTGGAATGGACATAGGTTCTTTTATAGGCTGTCCAGGTGTAGGTGGCACCTCTTGACTGCATAATTTATCACATTAGATTACAATAAAAACGGGGATCTTTTAAAAAAAATAATGTATTGATCTCCGAATAATATCCTTAGCTTTTGTACCTGAACTTCAAGGAGTAAGTCTTAGCTTCTGCATTATAACTTGAAGCAACTTTCATAATTGGTGTGCCAGCTTGTGAATACCTGTGGTTTAAAAGCAATATTAAGCATATGCAACAACAAAGCAAAGGGAAAAAAAATGTGTAAGCATATAGATCCTGTACCATAACAAGAAGTTTGCAAAATCAACACCATTTGCATCTCTCATGGCAGCATAAAAATCTTCATAGGTGACAGCTTGACCATCATTCCTCTTAAAGTAGAGATCCATCCCCTGCAATATGGAACTCTGATGAGTAAGCAGTGTAAAAGTATACAGACATCATATAATTACCCATATTACTTGTGCTATACCTTTCTAAACCCCTCGGTTCCCAGCAATGTTTTATACATCCGGACGACTTCAGCACCCTTTAAAAACGTTATTACACATTAACATTATTATTCTAGTTTCCTGCTAGCACTTATTTTTTCCAGAAGGAAAATATTGATACAGGGAACCAGGAATGATGAAAACAAACCTTCTCATACACCTGCAATGAAGACAAACAAACAAAAGATGGTTAGATCATAAAATAAGCGCACATCAAAACCATATGAAGGAAAAACAAAGCACCATGAAGTAAGCATACCGTCACTAGAAGGTGGAGAATAGCCCCAAATCAGAACCAACACGATTGCAAATCAAAGGCATAAGTCAGAAATCCATCACAAAAAAATAAACGTACAAATTTTTCTCTCACTTAGTATCAACTTCTCTTGTTACCCAACAGAGGAACTAACCTGTATAGAAGTTGTCCATCTGAGGAAATAAGAAAAGCAGGAGCGTAAGTATGGAACATAATGAATATCTGAACTAAGCGTTAAAAGCCAAAGGCAATGATCTGAAAGATTAGATAACAAACCTTGATGTAAGAATGAGGCCTAACAGGGTGCGCCATGGGACCAGCATCCTGAATTTTTTTACAGGACATGCACATTAGTGCAAAGAAGCTAATCCTAATAACATTATAAAGCGATGCGTTGGAACACAACCGCAAAAGGCTAAGTAAAACCTGTGGGAACTGATAATTGCGAAGTCTAGAAACATCATCAATCCTCTTCACAGGGCGACTTCCCAGATCAGATGAAAATTCCTAACAACCACAGAAGGTTGGAGAAGGTTAAAACAGATATTGTCGGTCAAAGCAAAATGGCAAAAAAGTAGAGATGAAACAAGAGGGTTATACCTGGTCTCTGAATACTGTAAGACCTTCCTTTAAACTGAGCTCGAATCAGTCTCCACAAGTCACCCTGGAGGTGTTTTTGTTTAGCATTTATAACATGTTCCAATATAAACAGAGACTTCGCAACATTAGAAAAGCTATGAAACTAGAACTCACAGAAGATAAAACCAACCTGTTGCCTGTCCAGTTATGGAAATACTGCATGCAAGAAACAACAGCGTCAATTATTCAATTCATTGATGCAGCAGAACAAGGAAATTGGCAGTCAAAATGGACAACCAACCTCATGACCAATAACGCCCAAGATGGCATCATAATCACCATCTGAGGCAGTCTCGGGAGATGCCAAGACAAGCTTGGAATTGAATATCTTTTGAAAAAAGATCATTGTGTCAGCTCAAAAACAATTTAGAGAATACAAGAAATTTAAGAAAAAGCAAGAAAATCATACATTCAAACTCTTATTCTCCATCGCCTCCCTGTGTAACAAAGATAGAATCGTATCAAGGAACAAGGAATACAAGCCAAATATGTTTCCAATCATCAATCCCCATGCAGAAAGTATATGAAACCACCATTAAACCAGTAATAGAAAAAAGCAGGCAGCATCTTACATGTTGAAGTCAGGGACAACAACAATATTGAAGAGGTCCAAGTCATATTCAAGACCAAAAACCTGCAGGCACCAGTGTCATATTAAGCATTACCTTAAAGACTTTCAATAATGGAAAAACAGAAGCTCAAGGGAAGATACTGACATCTTCATCCCATTTCATTGCAGCCTTAAGTGAATACATGGCATGTGCAGTCTTGGACAAGTCTTCTGCAGGGGTCCAGATTCTAAGCTGCACATTCCGACCAGTTCGCGTGACAAATGTGTCATCTCTGCTCTCCAGCTGTCCAGCCACTAAAGCAAACAAGTAACATGGTTTTTTGAAGGGGTCTTCCCAAAGAGCGAAATGTTTACCACCCTGCAAAAAGAACCCAGAGAACTTGGCATCAATAACTTGATTCATTATGTAGATGAAACAGTGCATTATAAGCGTCAATCTACCTCAAGTTCTCCTTGTTCTAAAAGATTTCCATTAGACAGCAAAACTGGGTATAGCAACTTATCAGCTTCAATTCGGCACGTGTACTTGGCCATTATATCTGGACGATCCTGTTAGCAAAATCAGAAAGAAAGAAGTCAGCCAGAATAATCTGTCAAACAGGCTTCCAAGAAAAAGTTTCTTCCAAATTTTAACCTGGAAAAATGTGATATTACGGAAACCCTCTGCTTCACATTGAGTGCAGAAGTTCCCAGTTGACTTGTAAAGTCCCTGCAAGAAGGAAATAAAAGAATGAGAGAAGAAGCATCATGAAGTAAGAAATAGAAGAAATGGATACACTGTGTTTTAACTCGAGGGAAGTGTTCTTATTTGGATAAATCTCGGTGAGGATTTCCAAAGTGAATGCGCCACTTGGAGGTGACAGGATGGTCAAGTGCCGGGAATCAACTTGATAATCTGCATCCTGGAAAATCATAAAGAAATCAACACAGATTTAGTTAAAGAAGTAGCCTAATACAAGCATCAATGCCAAGACACCTAGGTCTTACTCTAGTTTTAAGACTTTGATGGTCACAACAAGAAAGCATGTAAGTGTCATATACCAATTGTTCCCAATAACTCGAGTTGTTGGGAGAAGGTTATGTTAAATTTTATACAGACCCATGTATAGTACTTAACCACTTCCTTACACGCCCCATCAAACCAAAGCCGACTCATGGCCTTGAAGTTTGCACAGGCCCGCCATACCATGTGCTTGAAAGACAACGGTTAATATTGGGGGTCGTGAGGACTTGAACACGAGACCTCAAGGACAAACCAGCTCTGTTACCATGTCATAAACCGGTTGGTCTCAATAACTCGAGTTGTTGGGAGAAGATTATGTTGGATCTACCACTCTCTAACACGCCCCCTCAAACGAAATCCAACTCACGAATTTGAAGTTTGCACAGGCCCACTATACCTTGTGTTTTAATAAACTGTTAATATTGGGGGTCATGGAGATTCGAACGCACGACCACTTGGTCAAACCGGCTCTAATACCATGTCATATACCAATTGTTTCCAATAACTCGAATTGTTGGGATAAGGTTATGCTGAATCTTATACATGCCCATGTATGGTACTTAACAACTTCCTTACAGTAAGGACTGAAAGAGTAGGACTAAAGCATATAAAATAGAATCAGAAGAATATTACCAAGCAATAAACACGCCAGAAAGACATTGGAGCACGAACTTAATAAAACTAATCTGACAAAATGATCAGGTACCTTCAGTCCGTTCCCATTGATCTTGATGGGGAGTAGCTTTAGATCATGTCCATCCAAAACCAGCGGGGAAGAGGAACCTATTCAACAACATAGATGAATAACATGTCCTAAAATAAATGCAACTATGAAGATGAAATATTTGCTACAATCTTTTGACATAATCTATTGAGCTACAACAAGTGTATAGTAATAGTCACCTTCAACTCTTGGGGACACAGTTATTTTTGAGTTAACAAGTGTTTTCTCCTCGCCCAGAGCAAAGCTCAAATCAACCTGAGATCATAGCAAATATAAGCATTAACAATCAAGGAAACGCTTTCTTTCTTTGTTTTCTTTTCTCGCTTAATAAATGAATTTGAATCACCATTATAAATTTTTTTTTGAGGAAATGCTTTCAATATAGCAACCATAACAGAATTCAGAGTCTTAAGCACTCAACATTCTAACTTAACCTAGAGCATACCGTCTCGAAGTAATAATCAGGTAACTTATAATCCTTCAAAAAGATTTCCTTCGGTGCATCCATTTTGGCTTCTTCGGTCTGCTGGAGTACCGGGTCTGTAGCAACTGAACAGATTAGCCTCTGACTGTGTTGCGTAGTAATCTGAAACGGTTGTCAACAACCATACGATCAATAAAACGAAACTAACAGTATGATGTATGCAAGTAAAATGCAAAAAGCACAGTAAAGGAAGATATACATACATATAATCCGGGATGCGAAAACTGATTATTTCTTTGGAGTGAGACCTACATCCACCAATTTTAATAGCCAAAGTTAGACTCCAAAATCACCGACTGTTAAAAGCTTTTCGAAAGTGAGGTCCAGCATTGTAATACTCACCACAGAACGAAGAAGTTGCATGTAACTAGATGCACTTCTCAAAGAACTCCTCAAGCAACTAGCTCGGCTTGTGGCCTGGAGCTGCAAACGAACAAAATGAAAATGACAACAAGAATCAGTAAAGAAGCCGAAATCTGCCATATGATAAGCATCATCGTCAAAACAAAATCAGTCAAACAACGGTGACAGGAGAGTTAAAAGTGAACCATTTCAGAAACAAATCGCGGTGCGGTTAGTTCAAATAAAAAGAGAGAGTTCGAATGAATTAAACGAATAAGAAAACGGGTAACGAGTAATCACAGGAGCCGAGGAGAACAAACTCAAGAGACTGGTCTTTGGAAAACACGAACTTTTGCACGGAGGAATCAACAACCGAGCCATTGCCGAACAGAAAGTTTAGTTAGGCGCGCAAGACAATCAACCAATCAAAAACCCACCACTGTAGAACCTTAAACCATCAAGCCAGCGTCAAAAGCTCAAAACTTTGATACGATTACAAGGTACCCAGATGGCCAAAACAATCAAAAACCATAAACCCGCGACGAGGGGGGGAGAGAAAACAGAAGGAAGAAAAGAAAGAGTGCTACGCGCCCTAACCGGGGTTTACTTGATAAAGGGGAAAGATAGGGAGGGGATAAAAATTCAAATTATGGACAGAAAATCTCCAGCTCTGAGTAGAATACAAACAAAAGAGTGAAAAGATAGCGCGCCTAAAAGAACATAATCACACGATGGAATGTGTCAAAATTAGGGGGGGAAATCGGGGGATCTTACTAACCTATAGTTATTGCTTTCGGAATTGAGCTCTCTCAATGATCTTTCTTTGCGATGCAGAAGTGCAGATCGTTTCGGGGGGGGGGGGGGGGGGGGGGGGAAGACAGACAAAACCGGCGAGGCAATGAAATGGAGAAGACGCCTTTTGCTTATTTATTCAGCCTGTGGTGCCCGCACTTCTAGGATGCGCGATAATAGTTACTTCAAGTCAGAGAGAAGTTCCCAACAAACAAAATTAGTTTTTTTGCCAGACAAATTAGTTAAGCCAAATCATTCATCTACGACTACGAGCGCCGAAGATAATGTTTGTAAGCATTAGGGATACAAAGTTTAGGTTGATCAAACTCTTCTCGATTGTCACTTTAAAAAAACTCTTCTCTATTAGTTTCAGTTCCAGCAAGTTTCGACTCTCTATTGAGATCAAACTCTTCTCAATATAAAGATTGTTTCAGTGTTGTTCATGAGTTTTGGGAGGAAGCTTACAATTGAGTCTGCACAAGAACAAAAAGCAGGTAATTAGCATTATTTACATTGAAATTGTACAATTCACTACAAAAATTTAAGAAATTAACATGTGTTTTTAATATACAGACAAAAGAGAGAAGATAGGGTGCTTAGCTTACAGGTAGAAGTGCCTATATGAGTACAATTTTTTGGTTAATTGTAATCGAATCGCAATCATGCGATTAGTGGTTAATCGCTAACAACGCATGAGTAACAGAACCGTATAAATAACTTCTAATAATTGTTTAAATAACTGCACATGCTAAGCCCGAGTCAATAAGGATCAACACTCTAAGTTAAGTCTCACCCAAATGCCAAATATCCAACCAAAATGGTCACAAATGTTGAAATGTAACAAAAAATTCACAGAAGTACCACAATATAACAAAACCACTATTCCATGTCTTTTCATTCACATTTCCATTCAAAATGACAAGTTAGCTTGCTCCTGAAGAGTGGTAGTTTTACGAGGTTGATTAGTATCTAATATATTTTTAATTGTTAATTTTGCACTTTGTCAACAAACTTGTTGATATGGATTGGATCGGATTATCTGTCGTTGAGTTGAAGTTACGGAGGTCTTGCTATTAGGGTTAGACCATATGGAGAAGGACTATATATACTTCTCAACCCTTCTGTAATCTATAATCTCCTCATATATAATGAAGCTGGCTCTTTTCTGTCTGTGGACTAACTAACACGCCTTGTGTTAGTGAATAGTGAGTCACGTAACTATGTGTGTTCTTTACTTTATTGCATTGTTGATTATCCCAATCCATTATTATTTATTAACAAAGCTAATTGGTAATATTGTATATAAATATGGCTAAAACAAGACAAACTGATTGTTTTATTATATCATGATACTTGTGTGATATTTTTGTTATGTTTTAAACGTTTGTGACCATTTTGTTAGATGTCCAAACATATGTGACCAATTTGATAAATTACCCGATTATCGTGAATTATCTTGTGCATCTACTATAAATCATTTATATTTATAATGATTAACGTAAAGATCATGGAGCCATGGCTTATCTTCTGTTATCTAATTATTATTGTTCACTTAAGAAGGAAAAAGTCAGAGATAATTAGTTTTATTTTTTCGATAATAAGATAATTAGTTTTATTTTTTCGATAATAAGATAATTAATTTTAGAAGTCACCAATGGAATACTGATTTTGGAGTATAGAGATTGAGCTGTTATTGTTTGTCTACTAGTTCCCCTTCACCAAAATCAAAAGGGCCAGTCCAAAGTCGAGTTGGGCTATGTCTACGCGTCCAGATTTAGCTGTTTCCTTTCAATGGGACCATCGGTGATTGGGCTTCGTCTTCTAGGCTTCAGAGTGTTTAGCATGTTTGGTTAAGTGGAGGTTCGGGTAACTTCTTATGTTCGGCCAACGGTTTGGGGTCCGTTATATTCGATCCGGTCCGTGCTCGTTATTATTTATATGAACCAATCAGAACATGCGATCATCCGTCGTACTTTTAATTGCGGCACTTTAGTTTGCACCCCAACTTAAATAATTAAGAAAAAGAGTTAGTAAATATCACCGATTAATCCACGATTGATCTTTTTGTTAATGTTAAACAGATGGGAACTTTATTTAGTCATAGGGTGTTGTAACTAATGATGCCAATTTGAACTCACCTCATGGGTATTACCCGATCTGACCAGCAATGGGGCGGGCATTATCTGACCCGCAATAGCATGGGGCGGGGCATGGGTATTTACTTTCGATCCGCCCTGCCTCGCCCCATCCCATTCTTGATTCGCTTTATCTCAATTTCTTAAAATATCTATACATATTTATCTTATTTTGACTTTTTTCTAATAGTTAGAGTCAATCTTTCAACTTATTAGACAGTAGCGTGGGGCGGGGTATGAGTATTGAGATACACGCCCCGCCCCATTGCCATCACTAGTTGTATCATTTAGATCCAGCTGATCAAGTAAAAGAAAATTTATCAGATCAAGTCAAACTTTTTAAATATTCCATCTAATCACGATATGAGTCATAATATTAGCTGCAGAATTCCCCAATGGATTAACATGTTATTGGTAGAAACCGAACATTTCCAACAGTTGCCAATCCATATTCGCCATATGATGTAAATATCGATTCGATAATCCGACAAATAACCCAATCTCAGCCTGAACTTTGGAAGTTTTGAGTTTGAAATTTAATTAATATCAAATTCATACTTAGAGAGCTTCATCGTTGTCATATTATGATCAAACTCGTATTATCTTCATGTAAAATACAAACTCGGGTTCATTTTTAGTAAAACTGAAATACGGAAATGAAATATTTGGAGCTAAACATTCAACTTTATTTGATGAGGTGAAATGTAAAATGAACAAAAGTAGGGATTTTTTTTCTGACGACAAGCCCAAAAGGCATGATAAAACGACTCGATTACAAGACTGATTCAACCAAACTTGGTGCAATGACTCAATTACAAGACCGACTCTAGCCAAACATGATAGTCTGCAAGCAACCTGTCTTTTGACGAAAAAACTTGTTTTGCCACTACAAAGACAACTATGATATAGCTCCCAGGGCCAAAACGACACGTCACTTACTAAAAAATAAGCAAAATGAATAAACTTCCTCCAAGATGACTCATGCTCGAAAGTGGATAGAATTCTTCAGTGTCGTGTACCTGACAACCTGACTCGCTTTTACCGTCACAATAGAAATGGCCAGTGTAACCACCTACTAATGAGTAGTATAGCGGGTTTAGCTTTATTTGCCAACCCGGGTTCCTAGGTATGGATTCTTGTTATCTAGTTGTTTAACTCTAGTGAAGTTATAACTAATCTAGCCAAACACAAAGCAACTAAGTTGTGATTCAAGTTCGAGAGAGGTCACCCGGATATGGTTCCCCCTAGATTGTAATTAAGTCAAATTGTAATTCACCAAGTCCAGATTCAATGACAATTATACTGCTGAAGGTTCTTAACCAGTCTGAATTCTCGACTAAAGGTCTCCAGACCCTCTCAATCTAAATACCCGGCGGGCGACTAACCTCCACCGGAGTAAACAAACTAAGGCCCTACCGTGCAAAACCTCCTCTACTGGATTAAATCCAATACAGAGGAGTGAATTGACTCCTCGAATAAAGTAGTTACTTCACCACCTTCAATTAAGGGTGCTCTATCAACCTAATCAGATATTCTCTTTCTAGGTCAAAGCAGACACTACAGGAATTTGATCAGGATTCATGAAATTCAAAAATCATACCTCAATTGAATATATTCAATGTCAAAAGATCAAGTACTTGGGTTCATACAATTAAACGTAACATACAAATCTAGGTTCTTCATACCTAGGTGAGATAGGAAGTTACTCCGTAGAGAGAAGAGAAATCAGCTTCAGATGCAGAATTCATTTTGTGGAGGATGATAATCAGCTTCTGGTTGTCAATCGGTGCTTCTCCAGGCTTCAATCGAGCTCTAATGGTGTTGAATCTCAATCTAGGTCACCTTGGAGAGTAGTTTTGTCACTTTCTCTCTCTTAAATTCTGTTTCAGCTCTCATGATCCCTTCTCAAAGACTTGAAATTGGGTTAAAACCCAACTCTGCCCGATTACACGGCCGTGTAAAATTCCAGTATGCCCGTGTGAACTCCAAAATGCGGCGTTGCACTTAGTTGCTCGCGGGGGTGTCACACGGCCAGTATGTACGACCGTGCAGAATTCAGTATTGACCGTGTGAACTCTCTGGATAAACCGCACGACCAAAAGGGAGACTTACATGGGCCGTACAAACTTGTCTGCGTAAGCCCTCTCACACGGCCAACTTGCACGACAGTGAGGAATTATGCCAGGCCGTGTAAACTCCTCAGCTTCCCATCGGATGTCCCAACCTCATCCAATCGACCTCGAACTCGTTCCCAAACCTTCATTCACGTACTAGGACCTGTAATATCACAAACAAGAACAACCTAGCGTGAAATCGGCCTAAAATACGAGAGATGAGACACAAACAATATAAGAATGGTGGACAAAAGCATGTGTAAATATCGAGTTATCAAATCCCCTCACACATAACTATTTGCTTGTCCCCAAGCAAACCTTACTCAAACCAATGCAGTTCTCCAGACCTCTACAACAACATGAAACCCTGGTCGTCGGTAGAAGTCTTCCTAGATCATTTAGCAAATTACAAGGTCAAACGGCTTTCTAAGATGTCCCCTATCTCTATCATTGCGAGTACTAGACTTAAACCAGGATCATGAGAAGCACTGGAACTAGGACAGTCATTTCATGGATAGAGAGACTCCCACAGTTCAACAACCAAGGACTCTTCGTATCTGGTTCTCTTCCATTCCATTTCATTCGTTAGAACCCCTTTTTATTCTTATTTGTTTCCTTTTCTTTTGTTTTTCACATTCTCACTTTGCCAGGGTTCCAAATTGCAGTTTTTATGCGTGGTCGACCCTTATTGGGTGAGCAAGAGCAATTTCTGTACATCTGACGCTCGCCAGAGTACTTATTTTAACTCCTTTTCCTCACTTCATGCGGAGCATCAATGAAATTAAGGGGGGTCAGAAGTTCAATCCGTGCCCTTACAAATTCATCCTCGAGTAGGCAAACCGTTCAATGGGTGAAATTTTTACTTGTACCAGAGACGCTTAGCTTCACCTTGTAGGCTTACCCCACTAAGGATCACTAAAATCTCTTCCAAAACCCGATTTTGTGCAATGAACGTTGCCACACACGTTGGGCTTGCCCCATGTTTAAAATTTCAAGTTTTGACATGGAGGACCAACTGCCTTACCATTTCGCACAATTGAGCACCCTTTTACGATACATGAGTCCACAACACAACGTAGGGAGAGTCATCAATATCACATGAATCAAATGTCCTAAATCCACTAGTTCATAAAATCAACCGACACAACAAGGAGACAGATATGAAAAATCTTATACTTTAACATCCTCCATAGTGCTACAACCACCTCCCTAGGTTGCATATGACCATAAAGACTCTCAATTCAAAGCATACCGAGGAGGCAATTGCAAAGGACAGGGGCTTGGAGCCCTCAAATCAAAATTTGGACAGTGGACTAGGCTCCAAGTACACACATAGTAAACTCGATCGACACAAAACACCCCCCTCCCAACACACACACACACACTTAAGACCGACAGTTCCCTCACTATAGCAGAAAAAAGAGAGTAGGGGTGAACCGATGTTACCGGGAACAGGACGAGAGCAGGCATGGACTGGAGCGAGGACCAGTCATCAGAAACACGGGAATGAAAGAGGGATCAGTTGCTGCAAAAGAGGGTTTCAGAAACAACCATTAGAACACTGTTTGTTAGGTAGAGTTGTCAGCCCAGATGGCTACAAAACGATAATCCACTAGAAAAAAACAAACATACAAATGACTCAGTCCAAGCTCCGCACACACATGGAGCAAACAAAGACAAAAAGAAAACACCAACGCAACTGAAGGGGCTGACGAGTACAGCCTACTCGTCGTCGGTGGCGTCAAAGTCAATGTCCCTCATGAAGTCATCAGAACTCGATGGAGGCAGAGGTAGGGGGAAGCATCCCAAGGAGTCTGCCAGGCTGGTGGATGGCCCGGGACCTGATCAAGGAGGTACTATCGGACCTCCTGCATGTGGTGCGTCCGACTGCGCTCACGCTCTATATGAGCGAGGGTGATCCCCTGCTGAGTCTCCAGGAGGTCCAAGCGCCAATTATACACAACAATACGACCAACGTACTCAGCCTAGTGGGTCACGTACAGCTGCTAGAACTGAAGCTGGTGGTCAAGGATCTGCTGGTTTTGGAGACCCAGCTGCTGAAACTTGTGGCCTATCTGCTCGAACTGTTGGGCGAAGTAGTCCTGGGACGAAACAGAGGAGCTACCACCCTCATGCTCAAAAGTGATATGGTGGGAAGTCTGGTGGGGGGAAGCGGCATCCTCTGCCTGAGATGCAGCATCTTGCTCCATCTCGGCAGGGTCAGGAATGGCTAGGGCAAGAAGCCCTCATCCCACTTCACACCGAAGGACACTCGGAGCAGTCGCATCTTGGAGACTGTGTCCTCCCCAAAGGCCCACGTCTCGCCCTGGTCCGTGTAGTCCTGGTAATCGATCTGGATGTGGGTGGCCAGCACAGTGATCAATGGAGTGCAATAGAGAGTCCCTAGAGTCACAACACCTCTTGCCGAAAGTCTTTGCCAAGACTGATACCAAATGGAGCGCGTGGTGGGCGGCGCATATAGGTGTCAATCGGGCGGGTTCGGGCTGGGTTCAATCGGGTTCGGGTTCAAACGGGTTGCGGGTTAGTCGGGTTGCGGGTTCATCGGGTTCGGGTTCATCGGGTTCGGGTTCAAACGGGTTGCGGGTTAGTCGGGTTGCGGGTTCATCGGGTTCGGATTCAATCGGGTTGCGGGCAAATCGGGTTGCGGGTTCACCGGGTTTTAGGTCGGGCGGGTTGCGGGCGGGTCGGGTTTTGGGTTGTTCGGGCCAGCGCATCAAGTAACTTAACTCATTACTCATTACCAACTTACACATTTTATTACACTAATTTAAAATATTTTCTCAACTTTTTAACCAATTTATTTCTACCTCGTATATATATACTTTATATTTTTGAAAAAAACTAGTCAAAATGTTAAATCAATTTGTATGACTTGCAAACTTGTTATGTAATTAATCATAATTGGTAAAGTATTATAGCTAATAGTAATGGTGATATCAATATTTGCAACCAAAAGACACCGTTAATTGTTTATTTGATATTTTAATTAGTATTAATTCAGTAGTAATTGGATTAAAGTATCTCGTTTAGTATAACCATGCAAATCTGGTATTTGGCGTGTGGTATTTGGCAAAAGCATAGTGATAAAAGGAGTTATTTCAAAATAACTCATTGCCCAAATAACTTTAGTAAACTGTTGCCAAACGAGTTATTTGTAAAATTGTTCGAATTATCCTAAAAATTGAACCATTAAAGATTAGCTATCAAATTTAGTAAAATTATTGTGACTTCAATCATAACTTACTCAATAGCATATATCCTATACACTTAGCTTTACCCTCAATCAACAATATTAAGTTAGTATATGTTGTTGATTGTATACCCTAAACCATCAATACATTATACACTGACCACATAACCTATACCCTAATCATATGTCCTTGAGTTGTGACTTTGCTAGTATAGTTAATTTAAAAGTGAAATTCATACTTTGATTTTCAAAACATAGATAAAAAGTGATATTTGCTAATTGTTATACCCTAACCATATATCCTATACTTTACACCACATACCTTGTACCCTAACCACGTCCCATAAACATAAATTAAAAAGGGATCTCCTGCCGTTAAAGACTTCAAATGACTTCAAGTGAACATATGTTAATAAAAAACTTAGAACCGTCAAAACCATCAATATCTTATACCCTAACCATATACACCCTAAACCATATGTACCTTATAATTTATACCCTAACCATATACTTTATATCCTAAACAACGAACCGTTAAAGATTACATATCAAGTTTAGTATAAATTGTTATAACTAATGATTAATTTATTTATTAGCCCATAAAAAATTACATACATATATACATATTAGCCTTCAAAGCATATAAGAATAATTTTAACTAGTCATGCCCTCCATATTAAAGTTAAAGATTCATATTTCAAAAGCTAAAATTATGAAAAACCAAAAAATTGAAAATACCAAATTTGTTTCCTTCTTACTTTTCACAAAAATTCTAAAATTTCCCTCCTTCTTTCTCCTTCCATACATTAGAAAAACTCAATTTTCCCTCCTCTTTCTCTTCCATAAAATTGAAAGAAACAAATTACCCTCTTCTTTCCTTCTACAAAAAGTTGAAAAGTCAAAAGTTCCCTCCTTATTTCTCTTTCATAATAAAAAAAAATCAAACTTTCCCACTTCTTTCTTTTCCCACATATCAAAACCACCAAAATTCCCACTTGTTTCTTTTCTAAAAAATTCAAAGAACCAAATTTCCCTCTTCTTTCTCTTCCCAAAAACTTGAATACACCAAAATATCCATCTTCTTTTAAAAACATCAAATTACCAAATGCATTACTTTACTTTATTTATATTTAATTGAAAATTTTATTGAATAGTTAAATTAACCAAAATTTTAATGTATATGTTATATTAATATTGTCATGATCTCAAGTGACATTCATGTTTCAATTTTTGTAATTTCATTAAAATACGTAATATCAAGTGAGTTTCATATTTTTAAAATTTCTTATACGAAATGAAAAAATAATTTTACTTAAATTTAGAATGAAAAACTTTATTTTGAAAAACTATGTATTGTATATTTTTATAATTATTCAAGTGGATTAGATGAAATTCGGGTTGAGTCAGTCGGGTTACGGGTTAGTCAGGTTCGGGTCAATCGGGTTCGGGTTAATCGGGTTGCGGGTCAGTCGGGTTGCGGGTCAATCGGGTTCGGGTGAATCAGGTTGCGGGTTAGTCGGGTTGCAGGTCAATCGGGTTGCGGGTCGGGCGGGTTACGGGTTGTTGACTTTTAGTCAATTCGGGTTGCGGGTCGGGTTGATCGGGCGGGTTAATCGGGTCGGGCTATGTTTTGACACCTATAGCGGCGCACATCGACTAGAATAAGTAGAGGGACCACTTGGTCAAGGTGCTTGCACTCTCGCTGGTCAGATTGTAGGACTTTGTGAGCAAGTGGTGGAGAAGTCCATACTCAGTTTGAAGCGTGCTGGCCTTTGTGTGCCCGGCGGTGAAACCATCAGCGACGGTGTCGTAAGGAGGTCGGGCAAGCTGGTGGTACACTGTCAAGAAGAGACAGCCACTCGGGTTGGCGACCTCGACGACGAAGTCATTAGAGTCGACGGGCACGAGGTCGAAGGCAGCTGCAAGATCGTGATAGCTCATGGAGGGATACTCACCGCCCAACCGGATTTTGATGGCCCCACGGTCCCGCCAATCTTCGGTCTCGGTGTGCTCAAAGGTGGAGTAGAACTCGATCACTAGCTCAAAGTAGACCTGATCGTGCAAGGCAAGTAGGCATCGCCACATTTGGTTACGGACAACAGCCAAGAGGGCGTCATAGAGGTTGATGCTCTGTAACGCCCGCTTGCTCCAAAAATGGTGTTTGCCAAACTTAGCCTCCAAGACCTGCTTATACTGGGCTCTGTGGGGACCCGACTTCATATCCTGAATGAAACAATGCTTGTGGTTGGGCTTGGACATGATCCTGCAACAAAACAAACCATCGTGGTGCCAAAACAAACAACCAGGTGAAGGTTAGCACACCCCACACTTGAATTTATCCAAAACAGAACCATGTTGCCAGCTATAGTTCATAAAGGAAAACTCAAACAACGAAGCACAATCAAGAGGGGGTTGTCTCCAAACATGAAAATATGTAACACGAGCTTCGCAACCATACCAAGCACCCAATTATATCATGTAATTAAGGCCACAAAATAACCCCACAAAGGGCATGAAAAATAGGCATTTCATCGAACACCTTGTGGGCATGAATAAGATAGACATGAAAATTTCCCAAAGTCACTACACAAGGGTCCGATCATGCAAGATTCACAATCCAAAACCTTCCTAGTACTCAATCCTAGCATTCCATTCAGCCAATTTTAAGCAAAACATGCATTCAATTCGATTCACAACCTGAACACCCTAGCACATAATTCTCCAAAATTCACAAGGTAAAAGGTAAAATCAAACCTGGAGACTCTAGTAGACGTGTAGGGGAACGTGAGGGGAAGTCAAGAGAAGCAACGGATCGCCAAAATTTTGCCCGGAAATGCTCGTCGGAGTCTCGCTGAAAATCGCCTCCAGCGACTCAAACCCGACGCAAATCATCTGAAAACTAGGGAAGCGGCCACCAAGGAGGAGGAAAGAGTGGGTCCGAGGTCAGAGTCGCAAAAAACGACCCCAAATGGTCGGAAAATCGGTGGGGAGAGCGAAATGGTGCAATTTTCCATTGAGAAGAGAGGTTTCCGGCGAGAGTTGGGGAAAAAATGAGGCTACACAGCCGTGCAAGCCCTTTTATAGGCAAACTGGGCATGCGCACGGGCAGGTCGTACGACCGTGTAGAATCCCGGTGTTGCCCGTAATTGTAGCACAACTATGCAACGCGGTCATGCATGGCCGAGGAATCCACATGACCGTGCAATGGCCCCTTTTCCCTGTGTGGGATTTCCAGGGACGCCGCACAGCCAAAAGTGATTTTTACGCGGCCGTGCAGAAATGTGGCATGGCCGTGCAACGTCCCAACAAACTCATATTTGCGATTTATCATGAAAACGAGGCGTCCATCCCCTTAGACAGACACGACACAACTCAAAGACCAAAAATAAAAGGTAAAAGGAAATGAAATGCAAACCATGGTGCGGTTGCCTCCCCACAAGCGTTTTCTTTGACGTCTTTAGCTAGACGTGGCTAGCGGGACTAAGGGTCCTCGAGTTTAACCACCAACTCTGCCCGCTCGACCTCACCTCCCAGATACAGCTTGAGGCGGTGTCTATTGACTTTAAACGGCTCGGTTTGTGAGTAAATGATCTCGATGGTGCCATACGAGAACACCTGTGTAACCGTAAATGGTCCCGACCACCTGGAACAGAGCTTTCCAGGAAAGAGTTTCAGGCGAGAGTTATAGAGAATTACTTGATCGCCAACCTGAGACTCCTTCGGGCCCTACAAATGAGCTTCGTGCAAACGCTTTGTTCGCTCCTTGTACAATTTTGTGTTCTCATAGGCGTGGTAACGCCATTTCTCCAGCTCCAACATTTGCATCTTGCATTCGGCACTTGCAAGGCTCACATCCAACTTTAACAGCTTAAGGGCCCAGAAGGCCTTGTACTCTAACTTGATGGGCAAATGACATACCTTTCCATAGATGAATTGATATGGGGAAGTACCAATCGGCATCTTGTAGGCAGTACAATATGTCCAAAGAGCATCATCCAGCTTGGTGGACCAATCCTTGCGAGATTGATCCACCGTTTTCTCAATTATGTGCTTAAGCTCCTGATTCGTCAGTTCAGCCTGACCACTCGTTTGGGGATGGTAGGCTACTGACAGCTTGTGAGTGACACCATATCCAGAGAGGAGCTTATCAAATTGACCCTAAAAATGTGTGCCCCTGTTGCTAATGATGGCTCTAGGCGTCCTGAACCGGGAGAATAACTGCTTCAGAAACTGGCACACACGTCTGGCATCATTGGTGGGCAAAGCATGCACTTCAGCCCACCTAGAGACGTAATCAACAACAACTAGAATGTAGAGATTACCGAAGGATGCAGGGAATGGGCCCATGAGAAATCGATGCCCCAGACACCAAAAATTTCACAAGTAATAAACACATTCTAGGGCATATCATCTCGCACAGAAATGTTACCTGACCTCTGGCAGCGGTCACACGTGTGTGCGAAGGCGTCAGCATTCTTAAAGAGTGAGGGTCAATAGAAGCCTAACTATAGTACCTTCCTCGCCGCGCGGTTACTGTCATGGTGCCCATCCAGTAGGTCCCTCATGGCAATAAGATAGAATGCCCTCCATCTCATTATCCATGACACAGCGATGGGTAACCCCGTCGGCTCCAACCCTGTAGAGATACAGATCATCCCAAAAGTATTGCTTCAGATCGGAGAAAAATTCCTCTTCGCGTGAGTCGTCAACCCCTTGGGCAGCTGTTGGCCAACAAGATAGTTGGAAAAATCGGAGAACCACAGGGTGACACTCCCCACCAAGCACATCATCAACAACCGCTCATCTGGAAAGGAGTCGTTGATCTCCTCCTCGAAGTTGTCCGCAGGAGGTGCGTCCAGCCGGGAGAGGTGATCAGCAACAACATTTTTGGCTCCCTTCTTATCTTAAATCTCGATGTCGAACTCCTGCAACAACAAGATCCATTATATGAGCCGAGGCTTGGCATCGGCCTTGCTCATCAGATATCTGATGGAGAGTGATTGTGTATACTACCACGCGGGACAAGACCAAATAAGGGCAAAATTTGTCGAAGGAAAACACCACCGCTAGCAGCTCCTTCTCTGTGGCAGTGTAGTTCTCCTGTGCATCATTGAGGGTCTTTGATGCATAATATATGGGTAAGAAATGGTGATCTCGCCTCTGCCGCATGACAGCTCCAACTACGAAGTCACTGGCGTCGCACATCAGCTTGAAGGGAAGGGTCCAATAAGGAGTGACCATGATAAGAGCATGAGTGAGCTTCTTCTTCAAGGTCATGAATGTCGCTTTGCATGCGTCAGTGAAATGGAAGGGGACATCCTTCTCAAGGATCTTCGTCAGTGGCAAAGCAATCTTCGAGAAATCCTTGATGAACCACCGATAAAAACCTACATGGCCCAGGAAACTGCAAACTCCCTTCACAAAATTGGGAGGAGGTAGCTTATTGATCGTCTCGATCTTGGCTTTGTCCACCTCGATCCACATCTTGAAGATCTTATGCCCAAGCATTATGCCCTCGTGAACCATGAAGTGACATTTCTCCTAACTCATCGCCAGGTTCGTCTCCTCACACCTCTTTAAAACGAGTTTTAGGTTATGGAGACATTGAGAGAATGAGTCTCCATAAACCAAAAAAATCATCCATGAACACCTCCATGATTTATCTAACCATACGGTTGAAGATGGCGAGCATACACCTCTAGAACGTGGCGGGGGCGTTGCAAATTCTGAATGGGATCCTCCGATAAGCAAATGTGCCGAAAGGGCAGGTGAAGGTGGTCTTCCGGTGCTATGGGAATCTAAAAAATGCCCGGACATCCCATCCAGGAAACAGTAGAACTCGTGCCTTGCCAACTGCTTGAGCATCTGATCAATGAATGGCAGAGGAAAATGATCCTTCTGGGTGGCTTCATTAAGGCGGCACTAGTCGATGCAGACACGGTACTCGGTCACCATTCTCATAGGCATGAGCTCATTCTTCTCATTTGGGACCACGTACATCCAACCCTTCGTAGGCACCACTTGGGTGGGACTGACCCACTCGCTGTCAAAAACGACAAAGATGATTCATGCGTCCATCAACTTGATAATCTTCGCTCGAACCATGGCCTCCAGGTTCGGTGTCAATCGCCGCTGGGGCTGTCTCACTGCCCGGATCTCATCCTCCATCATTATCTGGTTGAAACAAAAGGAAGGGTTGATCCCCCGGATATCGGTGATCTTCCATGCCATAGCCCGCTCATACTACTTCAGCAGGGCCACCAGTCTGGTTTTTGCTCGGGTGTGAGGGTCGAGCTGATGATAACTGGAAGCTTGTTCCCCTCCTAGAGAAATGCATACTCCAAGTAAGGAGGGAGGTGCTTCTGCTCCAATGCTGGTGGCCCCTCTAGAGAGGTGGTAATACGGGGCAAGGATGAGATCGGTTTGAACTGCTTCTAGACCTTCAGAAACTCGCCATGCTCAAGCGCCGCCAACTGCTCCTCCAACTGATGCTCATGTGATGCCTGCTCACCTAGCAAAATACAACGCTCAAGGGCATCGTCAGTACCCGCACTCGTGATGGCGAGTGCGGTTTCAAAATCAGCAAACATGTCACAATAATCCAAGTCATCATTCATATGGGAATGCTTTGCATTGTCAGACACTGAAAATGTAGCTTGTTCATCCCCAGCCCGCAAAATTAACTTGCCATTATGCACATCAATCAACGCCTTGGCGGTGGTGAGAAATGGTCTACCCAAAATCGAAGGCACATCCATATCCACATCTTCATTTATGTCCAGGATGACAAAATCAATAGGATATGTAAATGCACTCACATTAACAAGCAAGTCCTTTATGGTACCCCTAGGATGCACAATCGATCGATCAGCTAATTAAATACTCATCCTAGTGGTTCGAGGTTCACCTAGGCCTAGCTTTTTAAAAAATTTATTGGGCATGACATTTATGCTAGCGCCTAGGTTTTCCAAGGGCTTTCCTACATGCATGATGCCAATAACAAGAGGGATAGTAAAACTCCCTGGGTCTTTGTTCTTCTTAGGCAGCTTGTTCTGCATGATTGCAAAACACTCCTCGCTCAATATCACTGTCGATAGATCCCCAAGTTTCTTCTTGTTGGTGAGGAGATCCTTCATGAATTTCGCGTACTTGGGCATCTTCAACAGTGCCTCCACGAACGGCATGCTGATGTTCACCTGCTTCAACATTGCCATGAACTTGGCCAACTCAGTCTCTAGCTTGTCCTTGTGCATACGAGTGGGGGAAAGGGAGCTGGGGGGAACATGCTCCTTAACCACTGGCTATGGTTTGGGAGTAGGTGCTTCTTTCTCAATCTCCACTACTTCATCTTCAGCTGAAAGTGCTAGAGCAGGTGTCGGTCGTCCTGCCTGACCGGAGCAGGAATTGCAGTTGTCGTCCTTCCACTCCTGGCAGTAATGGCATCCAGCTGCTGGTGAGGCTCGCGAGGATTCGGGATTGTGTTGGCAGGTAGAGTTCCCTGTGCTCTAGTGCTGTTGTTCCGGGCTATTGATGACTCGGTATTTGCACATGTTTTCCCGTTTGTTTCTTGATTGTTGAGCTTGAATTATTGCATCTTTGTCCTATTTTATGCTAGGTTGTGTTCCTTTGTCACATTTCAGGTCCTAGCACACAATGCAGTCAAAATCGGGATTTTGATCATAAAGTCGTAGGATTTTAGGATTTTACTTAGGGATTCCAATCCTGATTTTACTATAAAATCGGTGGACCTTAAAATCGTTCAAAATCGGGATTAAAATCGTAAAATCGTACCAAAATCGGGATTTTGATCCTATGTGAACAAAATAGGGAGCTTGAGCCAATTCAAAAGAAGCAGAACTGTTTCGGTGAAAAGGCAATGACGCGAATCTTCTCATATATTGTTCCTATTAAAAGAACATTTGAAAAGAAAAAAAAACTAATTAGGGTTCGGTCAACCCCTTTCCCTTCTCTTTGTTTAACTCATTGGTAAAATAATTGTCAAAATATTGTAAGTGCGTAAGAATTAACATCATTATTAATAAATTATTTGATTAATGAATATATTTGTACCAAACCAATGACATTAATTATTTTATTGGATTTCCGTTATTCTTAGTCTTAAATCATGCTTAGTAGACGACGTCGGGATACTACTTTGAGTTAAACTACCTAGACACAACATGAAAAATAAGAGCCAAACCCCATGAGCTCTATCCCT